TATAGAAAGGTTATAAAAAGAAACATTGTACTAACTACCATGAATGAGAACGGGCCTTCAGCGGAATAGGAGAACCCTGAAACCCGCCAAAATAAGGTTAGGGTAAGTTTGAATGCTTAGGTATGCATTAGTTGCAAAGTCCTTTCACCACATGTGGAGTCTGACAAGTTGCATCATAAAGAACGCTAAGCTCTTGGAGACCCACTGGTTTTCATTCTCTCTCTCTCAAAAAAAAATAAATAAATAAATAAACGTTAGGTGCTAGTAATATAGCCCTGGTAGCTAGCTATTGTTAGAAGATGTGCATATATTTTACTGATACCATTATTAAAAAGGTTCTCCTTTAATTACTGACCTCATCACAATTTCCGTTTTAATACAAAGGAAAAATTATATAGGTAGACTGTTTAAACTGAATAGGGACAACTCCAGTATCACACATCTGATTAAATACACGGAGTCATTCTTTTAGGAAATTATCGGATTGTCGGTTTATGTATTTATGTATTTGATATGAATGTAAAAAAAACTTTAAGTAAACAATCGATGACCTTTCGTACTTGCATGTTCTCCGTTTGAAGATAGCGTTTGCAGTTGTTTATTGGCTCAATATTGAATAAAGCAAAGTAATAAACTGGAATAATGAAAATGATTATAAAAAATTTCATTTTATTGTAATTACGTTTACAGACTTTAATCGTAAAATAGATTGAAAACTTTCAGTTGGAAAAACAAGCCTGTGTAAACAAGTGAAATGCGTTCACTCACTATGTAAAGTTTGTTTGTTTGCTGTCTGATGAAAACTTTTCAATTCAAATAAAACGTTCAACTCACAGGTATTTGTACAGATTTTTAAATATTTAAAAATACTTAAAGTAATTCACGATTTCTTGTCGATTTCAAATCAAATTTAAAACTTGGATTTAGGTCTACTTTCAGAATTGTTTTTCACTTGTTTTTCAAAGAAAATTCTCCTCTCGCGTTAATTTTCTTCTTATACAAGCTTTTGTTCTAATAATAGATGAAAATAAAAAATGTTCTGACGATGATTTCATCTTCAAAACAGCGTTCATCAAAAAAATATATTTTGTTTCTAACGACTTATTGTAAAACCGGTGTATCCATTATACACAATATATATTCAACAGCCCCAACGCCTTTCAAGCTTATTATTCATTGAAGTAAACAACGGATTAGAAGAGATTTGCTTGAAATGTTTTGAAACCGCAAACCCAATCTGCTAAAGTGATTGGACTAGTTTGGCATCTTTGTCCAGTTGGAGGGTGGTAAAGCGTTCAGGGCAAGGCGGGAAGGGGCGGACGTCAAGTGAAGGCTTTAGCATTAGGGACCAGTGTTTAAACTTTGCATGCCACAAATCAATTGTCACGAAATGACCCGTTCGTTTCATTTATTTCCTCCCGGCATAAGTGACCTTCGTGCCATGTTATGAATTTGCTATGGTTTTCGTTTAAAAACATGACTTTAGCTGTCAAAATTGCAACAACAACTAAAGTGTTGTGAATAAGCACTCATCATTTATTATCTCTTATAATTCCAATTATATGTCTATTTCAGATAGACTCAAACTAGAGGATTTTGTTTTTATGTAGGGTATTTATTATTTATAGACCGACAAACATCAAATGGTCATGTCACTGGATCTCCCTTATTTTCCTGCTTCTTACCTTGAGAGTACCTTAGCTCAAAGTACCTCACATTGTCAAATTACTATTAAGAGAACAAAAACAAAACGCAAACACCATAACACGACATCTATCGATATCCTTTCACTTCTCATATCAAGACAAGTCTGGTCACATTTACTCGCCCATACTCGGTATTCCTCGGGACAGATTTAAATCTTCCATTCACGTTAATAAATTACTTTCACTCTCCAGACCACACACTCTCACTCCAGAGTACGCGATAATCCTCGAGCTGGGAGGGATAATCCCTTCTTTACACTAATAATTTATATTCACTAAAATAAATGTATATACATTTAAAAACTCTTATAACATTTAAGGCCGTAAGTCCTCGCATAGGTCAAAGGGGACAACGGAGCTCATTATGCAGGCTTTTAATTTTCTGCATTGTAAAATATGCTCAATGCTTAATCTTTCGTTATATAATAGGCACTGACGCGGTCACTTTCCCACCAACAAGGGCCCATGTGTAAGCCTAGTATGACCTACTTCTCTACTCGACCCGACTTCCGTTGACCAGGAACCAAAACCAGTCTTTATCTGCCTTAATTTGGCATAAATCTGTGCCCGGCACTTTTATATTGTTTGTTTCTGACTTTATTTAGTTTAGCGATATTTATTTCTCAAAAATATTTGCAAAAAGTATTAAAGGAACAGATAAATTATGGTAACAAATAAACTACAATTTACCTGATTGTTCATTCTTCATCTACTACGTGAACTAATCTGAAAGCCGAAGAATTTCGAAGGATCGAATCCCGCCTGTGACCATTAATTGAGTATATGTATAATTAAGAATAACTCGATAAATAATAAAAGTTGGTATTAATCTGAAATTTGTTTTTTGTTTTAACATTAAAGCATACATAAAAATATACAATATAATAAAAATTCAATAAACTAAGGTGTTAAAATAACAACGTAAATCAATATCAAATTTAGATTAATATTTTATTAAACAAATTTGTATAGAATTTTAAGGAGAGTATGATTATCAAAAACAGTAATGTATAAAGACATTTTTTTAAATGGATTTGCGCCCATTACTCAAATGCGTTGGAATTTTTTTTTTTTTTTTAAGTCATCTTTTACATTAATGCATAAATTGGCAAAGAAATGACAAAGGATCCTTTGATAATACTAATGAAATACACGTCGGAGGAAATTAATTTCAGCTGATTTGGTTTATAATATTGAATCGCAAAAGATTTCATGCCGTAGACAGTAATTCATGGCTCATTACAGCTTGTGCAAACGAAATGAGAAAATATCAATTATCGAAAAACAGTAAAACTAAAAAAAAACTCCCTTATGTTTCAAACACCAAACAACATACGAAAGTAGAAAATTATGTGTCTATAATTTATTTTCACTATATAAATGTGCGCTTACAAATTTAGCATCGGTGACCTCAGAAAGACTTATGTATATTCATCGCTGTACGTACATAATGAAAACACATTATACTACGTTGATATTATTTCCAGGAGAGGGATAAATTTACGTTTTGTTAAGGATTTTCCAAGAATTAACAGACATTACTTTAAAAGCTTTCAATAAGTTTGGTCAATCTGATATTAATACTTCAATAGAATTCATTTTAATGAAATTATAAAAATCATATTCACCGAACTTCAAAACAATTTGAAGTTGCTTATTAATAATATTTTTACTTAATACCTTATTCAGGCTTTGTTTTAAACATTGCACGCTATCTTGCCAAATTCAGATATCTAAAACGATATATTCAGCTGTCTAGATATCTAAATATCTACCGCTTTATTAACGTAATAAATAATGAAATAAAAGCAAAAATAAATTTTTACTTTTTTCTGAACTATTTTTTTTTAAATTGAATTTTACTTCTTTTTTGGGGACCGCGGTAGCCGAGTGGTTAGCATGAGAGACTCTCACGCCGCGGTCGTGGGTTCGATTCCGACCGTCGTCTCTGGCCCTTTTTTCCCGATAACCCCCAATTTGAACACACAAGAATTCGTACTATGGTTATGCAAGATCATAAGGCCAATTTAAAAAAAAATTACAACTTCCCACTATTTTGTGTAACAAACAATGAACTGAACAAGAGGGAATGAAACGAAAAAACAAACAAAATAAAAAACAAAATCATTTCCTACTTGTAGTGATTATTTGACTTTTTTATAGTCGAAGGATCGTACTTCAGTGAATCTTGAACAAATAGAACAAAAAACTTTATCTTCTAAACTAAATATATTGTAATAATAAATTTAAAAAAATTATCAATGCTTAATCACAAATTATATAAAAAAATAAATTCCTAATCACAAATTATAAAAAGATTAGTGCTTACAATAAGAATAAGAAAAATACAAAAAGTAAAAATTAACCAAAATTCTTGTGCAAGCACAAACAGAAACACTTACTGTGTGTGTTGTGTACAATGTACCTTTAACTAAATTAAAATAAAAAAACATAAACTGATGACACTTTATAATCAATTTTAAAACTTAATACGGGCCACGTTTTTCTTCTCACCTTTTCTTAACAAGAATGAGCCGGTCAGCCCTATCTCCTCGCACACTAGATCTATCTTTTCTATTCTTCTCCATGGTGGGGAGAAATAGCGGGCTTTATTATAATACACAAAATTATGAGTAGTAATATACTCAAAGACAAAATCTAGACACTCGTATTTTGTGGTTTATTTCAAACTATATGTATTTTTATCGTTATAGTATTTGCAACATAATTACTTGAAGTTAAACAAAACTGAACAAGACAGAAATGCATGATTTTTAATAAAAATTATTTAATTATGATACTTTGAAGGATAATTTACTGAAACATAGGAAATCATTTGGTGATAGATTAAAATTTAACTATTTCTTTGTTGTTTTTTCTCTGTGAGTGTATTAAGTCAAATTAAAAACGTTCAAAATATAATTATTAATGAAAAACCAAATTCACAAATAGGATAATATTTGTTGTTTGTCGTATATTATATTTATTTGTTAAATATTCATCCATTCTATTTTGTAATACAATTAATTAAGGTTTTTAGTTGAGATGAAAAAAAGTTAATGGCACGAGCGGGATTTGAACCCACGATCTTCGGCTAGATACGCCGCTGCTATAGATAGCCGAAGATCGTGGGTTCGAATCCCGCTCGTGCCATTAACTTTCTTTTTTTCAACCCAACTAAAAACCTTAATTAATTGTAATGTATTAATTGGTCAAGCGGACCACGAAATTAGTGAATTTAACTATTTTGTAATGTTTTATTTTTTATATTTACAACATAGAATTTTTTTTCAGATGTCGAGGATAGCAGTGCTTGTATCTTGTTCGTGCTTGTTCACCTATTCCTCAACAGCATTTTTAAACGGTAAGAGAAGTTTTGTATTTTATGATATATATTTATATATATTACAAATGCGACATAAATCGGTTATCGGTCATAAAACTCGTGCTTTTATATATACATATATTTAATTTGCTCAGTCAGCTTTGCCTGGTTTGATAGATTGAAAAGTTACAATAATATCAATTAAATCACTTCATGGAAATTGAAAGGTAAAGAAATTGGATAATAAAGTTGTATTAACGGTAAACAATTGTATTCATGTCACGTATAAAAAAAGAGAGGTAAAATTGATGAGTTGTATGAATTAAACTCAGATAAAAATCATTGCTTCATCACTTCGCGTTAATTATTAAGACTCTTTAATCAAACCTTCTGTAATTTTTTTAGGTGTTTTAATTAATTTTTTAAGCAAATTTTTAATGAACGAAATTAATGGATTTTCCATCATTTATAGTAGCTAATCGATTGAATAATAAAATAAAAATTTTAAACCGCATTGTCACCAGGCAGCATTTTTCTAATAATTTTAAGTTTAGCCTTTAGAGGTAGCAAGCTCTCTTTTCTGTAAAGTAAACGTCAAAAGTGATTTAATAAAAGTATTGGCTCGGTCAGAAAGTAATGTCAATTTTCGCTACAATTTATCACATCATTGTCCATTTTCATTGGTAAATTCCTGTCCTATTTCAGGCAATATTTATGCCATCCTCCTGGAAGCTTTTTGCCATTTAATCGGATATAGCTGCAATGCAGCATTTTATTTTCCATTGACCCTAAATCGTTTTTGCTTTTTTTGTGTTTCCATAATTTGGAACAGGCGGCAATGTGAAGAAGTGGAATAATACATGTACACATCTTGCTTTGCCGTCCTCTAGGAATATTAATCAGAAATGCTGGCACCTTTTCCTTGATAGCTTTATATAATTGGTGGTAAAACTAAGAATAACGTTAATAAAATCTTAATGTTTAAAAAAAGGAGTTTAGGAGGAACAATTACCTAATTGATATTCTAACAAAAATATTTATATCTAAATACAATTATAAATAAGTCAACAAAAAGGCCTCAGTGGTTAAGTAAACACAAGAAGGAATTATATTTCCACTTTAATAGTGTAACATGATGTTATGTTTTAACATTTTAATGTTCACCAGTCACCTGTGGTGGCCATGAAGCTCAACTGTGTTGTAGTAAGTAACTTTTTTATGCTAACTTTTAATTTGGACTCATTCATTTCACTGCCCTTTGCACGATAGAAAAACTGATTTTCGAAAAGAAAACTGCGATTCTGCTTGATCCCCCTCGGATAGTTGATGTCCTGCCTTGGATCAAAGGCAAATCAGATTTCCGAGCAGGACAGCCTTTTCCTGAATGCGTAGCCATTATCCTTACATTTCAAACATCTTCCGGCCGACTTCAGACATCTTCAAAGAATCTTTAACTTTAAGAAGTCGTATTTGGAACTTAAATGCTTAAAACTTCGGAGTTCCCAGGATGAGGTTTCGAAAGCTACTGCAATGAGTACCTTAACGTGAAAATTTAATTTAGTTATATTTTTCATTCGATATGTTAGTACTTAATAACAGTATAACCAGGATAGTTTCTAGAAAACAACGATAATTTATTTCAGTCTCCTCCAAACTAACCTATTGATTCTTTCGTCGACTTATTGATAAGAAATAAAAAACTGAACACAATTTTTAACAATATTGGTAAAGTCATTTGAATTATTACTGAGTTTGATTTTTTGAAATTTGAACAATCCTTAGTCAATAAAATTGCTTATTTTTCATTTAAAAATGTTTTTAGTATCTTATTACAGTCGGCCTCAAATAAGAGCTTCAAACAATCTGGTACAACCAAATTGTGTATTATTGGTCAATGTCAGGATTGTATATTTCAAAAGTTATAATGAAAATAATAGGGTAGGGATGATTTTTTCTTTTAATATTTACACTGATTTTATTCTTCTTCACGATGGTGAAAATCACCATTTCTTAGACTGCAACCTAAAAAATCTAATGTGAAATTAAAATGGATCTTACTGTATTTGATTATATTCTAACTTTAAACACACCTTTATAAAAACTCATTACGATAAAAATTGCCAAATGTGCCAATGAAATATTTGAACTTTACCCTTATTTTACGCTGAATTTGCCAAACCTCATTCTCATTCTCCCTGATACCACAGCAAAATTAAAATTAAGTTAAAAGAACAAATCAACATAACGTAACAAAATTAAGTTAAAAGAACAAATCAACATAACGTAACACTATAAATGTATATTATAACTGATAATATATAGCTAATTGTAGGATATAATCTACAGCCATGCCTGCGTAAAATACCACGGGATATTCTGGAGGTTTGGGAGAATTTCGACCTGCAGACACAAGCTCGCCGACAACCCTTCGACATATTTGCGGGTGACATGGATCATAAATCCGGACCCTGCTCGTGTTTAATGAGGGCATTATCCCGGTCCGCTGTAATCCTCGGCCGATAGGTCTACCACCGCCAATGGTCCGAGCTATGAATTTATCGCGTTTGACGTTTTCCAGATTTCTAATACGAACCGCGGACATTTTCTCAACTGGAAGTTTGGGCCATAATTTGCGACTAAACTAGATTTGGAATTTAATTCGACTCACTGGGTGAAATAATTATAAACTTGGTGATTAAAATTACGCAATTAAATGTTTTAAAAAATTACCTGATTTGTTTCAATCTCAACCCCGTTAAAAATTATTATGCTAAAAAAATATATAACTATTGATTTCCATCGGAATAACCTCATAAATGAATAACATCATTTCTAAACGATACGTAATAAAACCAAACCTGCAAAAACGTTTTCTAAAGTTCGTACTTCATAAGTAGAGTGGAAACCAAATATCAAATCTGTTGTTCCATAATATGAATCTATATTATCTTAAAAAAATTTATTCAAACAGCCAACATAAATGGATTTTTTGGAACAACACAATATATATATAGCCACCAACCTAAGTGTTCTATATCACTGCAGTCGTAAGATGAATTTTACGTGCTTTTTTTCAGAAAAAATCCATTAGTCATAAATTGGTATTTTTTCAAGATCTAGAGGATTTGTTCCAATTTTTAACCACATTTTTGAATTTTAAATTGTATTCCCTATAAGAAGGAGCTATTCTTAATTTTATCAAACGCCGATGTATGTTTATTAATTTTATAATTTAAATTTCGAAAAATAACTGTTTTTCAACAAACGGGGTGCGAAACATCACATAAACTTCATCGTTTAATAAGCTTTCTTATGGTGTGCTCCAAGTTCCAAAAAGTTAACCCTTCACTAATAAAATCAACATGGAACCATAAAAATTAATAGGTTAAATTTTTAATTGCATTTTGTAGAATTATGAATGAAATATATGTATATATTTAAAAATTAACGCGTATTACTGGCTCAAACTTAGATACTTATACAGATAGAGGTACTCTCATGTGTATATGTGTTTATTTATTGGAATAAGTTATTAGAGTAAAACGAAGGGTTGTTTAACCGCGGATCGAGAAATATCGAGTAATCTGGGGCGAGCGTGTGGGGTCTGGAGAGTAAAAGAAGTTATTAGCGAGAAAGGAGACATTTTATATTATGAGTTTACGAGTTGTTAACTTTTAATATTTGGTGTAGCCGCTTCTCGCGTTGATTAGGCGCAGATCCGTCCTGGCATACTTTGTACCAAGCTCTCATATTGTTGTGGCGTGATTTGATTCCACTTGGTCACAACATTTTCCCACAATTGCTGCTTGTTGCACGCGGAAGCATTAACATCACCGACAGATCTCTTCAGCTGAGCCCAAAGATTCTCTATGGGGTTTAAATCTGAAGACTGTGGCCATTCAAACAAATTAAACCTATTTTCGTCAAGGCATGTTTTTGTCACACGAGAGGTATGTTTAGGATCATTGTCCTCCTAGAAAAGAATGTCCACTATTCGTTTATTGAGCTTTCTAAGGCTTCCTATCAAGCTATGCTAAAATCTCAACATAGTCGACTGCAGACATTCTCCCTTCTATTTTTTCAATGAAACCAACCCTTTTTGTAATAAAGCATCCCCATACCATTATACTTACACCTCCAAATTTCATTGTTGGTTTAATATGTCATATCCTTACTTTATCATTTCGCCCTTTCCACATCCACTCTTACTATCAAAGCCAAATCTATTAATTTTGGTTTCGTCAGACCACACAACATTTGACCAATCAAACATGCAGACAGCTGGCGATGATCACAGCTGTTTGTCGGCCCCTATACTTCCCATATTATATATATGGCACTATTACAAACTTCTGGGTCTTAATGTTAATTACATTATCCTTGAAGGTTATCTCGACCTTCTTCAGAGCTAAAAGTGTATTTTTTTGTCTAAATCATTGTCCTTGGCATATATGCTAGATGTGTACTTTGAAAATCGATGAAACCACTGAGATGCTCGTAAAAATGATGCCTTAAGTTTTACAAGGAAGAAGTATTTTGTGCTCTGGATTTGTAAATTTATATGAAGCATTTGTGCTATAGAACTTAGTTCTAAAGTTCAACGATGTGCGATATACATCCGATCACTTTACTGGGTCCGTCCATTCTCGTGAGTTTGCAATTCACTCAAACGCGTTTCGGCTTCACACCGCCTCCAGTGAAGAACTGTTCCTTACCAAATTCAACAACGATTATTATAAGGCAAATTAACAGTTATTTCAAGTTTTGGTTTTTTGTGAATGTTTAATATTATATGAAGATAATTGTTGTCACTTTATTTTACTATTTTATAAAACCTTTATTTATCTACAATTTAGTCAAATTGTGTTCGTCTAATAGGTATTGTTGATCTTCAAATTAATAAAAATAGTGCTGTTTAAAAAACCAACCAAATACATGAAATCATCATAACTTATATTTGACAGGTCTAACCCTCCTTACTTTTCCAATTTTATCTAAAAATAAAAGATTTTATAGCAAATTCGAAATTTTATTATTAT